TGTAGAACTTCTTTATAATCGTGCGCCAGTTTTGCAATGCCGATAACAGCGCGCACGGTCACTCACATGGTGCAAATACTTAATGATCGCCAGTGATGTCACTGATACATGGATTTGACAGACAAGTTAGCATCCTATTTATCTATTTGTAATTCTCGGAATGATTAATAGGAATTAGAGATGCATCGATAGCGCAAAGAAGGAAAGGGAAATTTGAGGCGATCAAACGTCTTAATTTGATTTTTTTTACGTAAAAAGTTGTTGTAATGAGATGTAATACATGCGTATAATTAAATTCTATTATAAAATCTTAAAGAACTATGGAAATTTATGATATTGAAAAATAAAATTTTTATAAATAAATGAAATTTGTGAAATATTCAAATTTATGAAATAGAGAATATATTCTGGTATACACAAATCATTATTTTAGAAAAATTTTATTTTTGAATATCATAAATTTCCAAAACTCTTTACGACAAATATAAATAAACTTTTCATGCATGTCGCATTGCACATATTGACTCAAAATATTTTTGTTCTAAGATAAACGCACGTAAGTAAAAGAAATAATCAAGTTTGGAGGAAACATATATCATACAATACATGTATACGATAATGTTTCGTTCTTCTAGTTACGAGAAATTGAAACTGTCACCAAAAAACAATTCACGTCTAAAGTAGACAGGAACTCTTGTCGAACGATACGCAGCATAAAGTATAATCAATTTGACTTATAAGTTGATAAAGATATAATATTGTAAGCATATTCATAAAGTATAAACTTCCACCTTTTAATTCTTCGTACTTACAACAACTTTTAATCAACATTAAAATATAATTGTCATTTCTCACTGGATTTATTGTTTTTCATAATAAATAAAAAAGATAGAAAACGTATGAAATTATTTAAGAATAAATTCCCAAATTCTTTTTTATCTCTTACTTGAAATTTAAATCTTATTTTCGAGTGTTGTGTAAATTTATTAAAACAATATATATGCGATAAATTGATATATTACACTCACATAATTATAAATATGAAAAAAGTTTCACACTAATGACAGTATAGATGACAGCATAGAGTTCACGTTAACTTGACAATTTGCAAGAATGCAACTTGCTGTAACTGTATATGTAAGGATGCAGGGAGAGTTATAGGCTCGATGAAGTGGGATGCGATGATGATTTATATTCAACTTACGAGGCCGCCTGGTCGCGATGAAGAGAAGATGTCTTGCCAGCATGTTGACTTATTGTCGCGGCGATTGATCGAACAGGAATCGTGAATCGCGAACTTACCGCGCTGCTCCGCTCCGTCAGTATAGTATTGCCCCGGCGCGGAGACGCGGCGACTGTCTGTCTAGCAATAAGATTCCTCTCTGTTTTTGTATACCGATAACGTCTTATCATCGCGCCACGCTAAAAACTCGATTTTATCCTGTGACGAGTCATCCGACTAACATAATGCAAAACTTTCGAGGATCTTTTCGAAATAGAAAAAAACTAATCTTTATATTTGAAAATGATTTTCTCGAACTTGCGGAATAGATCGAATGGATATATTTAGGAATAACAATCACAGAAAATGAACATAAATGAAGAAACTGACGAGCTTGAGAGAACTCTCGTGATTAGACGCAATGATAATTTAAAGTGACACATGTTTTTGCAAAGACACAAAACGATTTCCTCTGCGGCACTACATTTCAATATAATCGAGACTTGGAATCGCGAATTCCTTTTTTATGGAGTCTCATCGGGACTTATAGAGATCGAAGGGAAAGAAAACGTCGCGAATGAAGAAGGATGAATCGTTTGGATTCCCAGATCCAAACGGAGAGCGCACTGAAAGTGCCGGGACGGGCACGAAAGTATTTCAATCCTCGTAGTGGGGATTTTTGTTTATCGACACCCCGGCCATTATCATGCCGGGATAAACATCACGTCTGATGCAATTCGCGTTGCTTATTGAGCCAGCGGCTAACGATGCAGATAAGGGTTAACAAAGTGAGTCTTTAACTGAGAGCTTCGTGGGAGTTTTCCAGCGAATTGCTAAAGCGAAAGATTGCCTATTCGTCGTCATCTTAGCGCGATAAAATTCTTTATTTTTCTCCGGTCGAAGAAAGTTTGGCAACTTAATTATCATTTTATATAAATGTCAATAAATGAGTGAAAACGTTTAATTAATTGGTTTCAGTTCATTATAATCTTTGTTTTAATTTATATAACGTCCCAATTTCAAAAAATACTATTGCGTTATTTTTTAAATAATAAATTGTTTAATTTACGCGTGACAAGTCGAAACGACAAAACTTAATTGCAAACATTTAAAAACTTTGCATGTCTGTTATTGCGTATGTATTGAGAAAAATCAGTATAAAAATAGACAAGTTTGAAGAGGATAATTTGTTCATTGAAAAAAAATGCAAAAATTGATTTTTGCCAGTCATTCTATATTATTCAATTTTTAAAAAGTGCATTCTTCCCTCTTATTGATAAAACTAATAAACTCTAAAATATTCCACCCACAAGGACTGTCATTCGATAATAAAACTAGCGCTTTATCTCCTCGTATAAAGTAGGTATTAAATGCACCGCGTGGATCGTCGGCCGACTCATAGCTGGAAAGATCGGACACGAGTGTTAGATAAGAGAAAACGTGACCGGTATAATACGTGTTTCTCTATCTGTCATCTTTATGCGTGCGAAAAAATTGGTCGATCTTGCTGATTTCTCGTGATCGTTGTCGAACAGTTCGTTTATTGGTCTCTATTTGCCCCATCAATTTGCGAAAATGATATTACCTCGATCCGATGATTTTGTCTTTTACATAACATGCTGCGCCGATATCTTCTCCACTCTCTCTCTCTCTCTCGCTCGCTCCAGTTCTATCTGATTAGACCTTGATGATTCCCACTCATCCTCCGATCTATTTTATACGATGATCTTACCGTTATTTAACGAACTCGAGGTATCAAAGTCTGAACGCATCGAAATTATCCTCTACAGAGTTATCACGCTGAACCTTTGACAATAAAAACGTCGATTTTCGAGATATCGTGATGCTTATCGTAAAAATTTACGATATTCTATATTCCAGCCGTATTAAGTCATATTCTATTTTAACGCAGATGTTTCTCATCTTCGTTCGAATATTTCACGAATATCATCAAAATTAAACGATTTTCTCTTTAGACTAAAATATTAGTTTGTATCAGATAGTAAAACTTTTGTTTGTTTATAAAAAAAAATTATATTTTACTGTAATGCTGTTTTTAACTTCGACATTTTTTTAGAAATAAAATTATATGAAAATAAGATTCAATTGTAAATATATTATATTTTCAAGATAATTTATATTTATAACATTTTTAAGTCATTCATTGAGCAACTTGTTACTTATTAATACGATTAAAATTGTTCTTCAGAAGCAGATTATGCCCTAGTACAGATGTACTTGTCAGTGCCTTTAGCATGTTATCATTCACTATCATACTTTACCAGAGTGGGATTACTCTCGATTAAACCCTTGTTCGTTTGTTTTTCTAAATTCGGTTTGACTTATGCCAGAGTCTGCAGTAGTCGTTATTATCTTATCATTCTCGCTTCATATCAGCATTGCAAAACTAATTTTAACTACATTCTAATGCAAAATCTCTATAGCAGAATACTTAGCAAAAGTACCTTAGTATTATTACGTGCTTAGATTTAAGCGAAATTTTTACATACACATAGGTGTAGATTTAACGCTATTGGTATTAAGTGTAATTCTCATCGTGCTACTGTTGTTTTTCTCGATATAACATAGTGTGAATTTAGCTGTTCAGAATTTCGAATCCATATCATCTTGATATGGTATTTTAAACGTACACACACATGTCAACACAATGAGAATTATATGTATTTAACACCGACATTCTGTTAAATATACATCTATATTTTTTTGTAGAGTTGGTAAACTTTGATAAAAAATAGGAGTAGCGCAATTTCACACAAATAGTTGAATTGTTGATCTAGATTTAGCGTCGTATTGATACTGCAAAGATTACTGAAATATAGCGCTAACATGATATTTTTTTACCAGATTTCTGTGTCGTTACTAGAATATTTGAGCACTCTAGCCGGTTCTAAATCCAAAGTCCTCGGTCTAGGACTAGTTGGCACCGATTGAAGAGGTACCGTTACCAAAGATGTGTTGTCAAAGATCACGTTGTTACTGACCCGTGGTTCCGGACTGGAAACTGTCTCCGGATAATTGATTCTCTCCTTTAGCAACTCCTCCTGCAGCTCCTCGGAGGGCGTTCTGCAAATCTTGAACGACTTCTCTGTTTGGTTACTCGCGGAGAGTTTCTTGATGAACATGATCGGACTATTCGCCATGCGATAACTTTCGCTACGTTTCACCTTACGGTCTGTCTTGTCGCCGCGCGTCGAATCGGAATTTTTTACAGTCTGATTATTTAAGTCCGTACAATCGACAGCCATGTTCTTATCGATAATGTCGCAATCACTGAATGTCGTATTTTCATTTTGACTATCGGAATTTTTTCTACAAAAGCTCGGAGTATCGAGATCCGAGATCAACAGTTTCCTACCTAACTTAGGCGTATTACCAGTTACTCTCAAGATCTTCGGATAAAGACCCGATTTCTCAAAATCTAGTCGCGAGTTCACGGAATTAAGACCGATAGGGTGGTTGTTGACTTTTGACGGAGCAATCGTGCGAACGCTTGTCTCGACTGCATCACCATCGAGCATCGGCGGATGGTTCTCGTCGCGATCGAATTTGCGCTTTGTTTGTTTGTCTATCTGAGAGTCCCTATGGCAGATTCTAGATTGGTCCGGCTCCGGGAGCTTATTACTTGGCGCCAGAGTCAGGTTGTCGGGGAACTGTCTGGACTCGTCCTTAGAGCGTGACGGAACGGTCAGAGTGCGTAATAATACCTCTAATCTACCAGTGCGGCAATCGCGGTGCTCGTCAGTGCTGGACGTCTTACCTTCGTCACCTTGCACGTTGACGTAAGCCCCGCGGACTTGTCTGTGGGGACTGTTCGGGCTCGTGGGACCGACCACGGTCGTCGGCGTGCGCACGTAATCTGGACTGGTCGCGCGATCGGGACTCCGCGCTGCCCGAATAATTAGCTTGCCCAGCTGAGGTGAGGTTGGTGGTGTGATTTTAATGCTCGGGGCATCTACGACGTCGATGTTTTTTGTGACAGCGCGGATGTTCGGAATTGCGCGATGAAGCAACGGCGATGGACTTGGTGACAGTCCTTCCCTCACAAAAGGACCTGGACATTAACGTGTTGTGTAAAAAACTGAATTAGATGTGCTTCATTAGAAGAAATTCTAATCTTAAGAATTATTATAGTTTAATTTTAACAATAAATTAAGGATTATATTTGATAGTTTATTTTGTTGATAGCTTTATCAGGATTGTTTTTGCGTGTCGAATTTTATGTTAGAAACAAACAATACTCTATTAATAACTTAATATACTAATGTAATATATAATTTGTTTAAATAAAAATTTTATAGTGAAAAAAATTCTTAATTCTGATAGAAAGAAGAATAATTGAAATAATAATTACAGTACCCGGATTGAATGTCGTGTGCGCTCCCTTTCTTCTCTTCAGGCTATCGGACGAATAAACGACTTTGCCCTCGGAATTTAGAGTGACTCGAGCGCCCTGTCTCTTTCTCTCTAACGATGAATCCGGTTTCTTCGGTAACTCGCTCAGACTCACATACTCGGCATCCTTCTTGAAGATGTCGGAATTGGCATAGGTGATAGTTGATCGAACGGTGGTCATACCTAATGACGACGATGATGATGAAATCGGGCCCGCGGGATGTTTGTCGTTGTTGTTCCTCACGTCGGCTATGGTTACATAGTCGCCGGAGTCTGAGAGCTCTTGCACGGCACTGTTCTTCGTGATGTGCTTCTTGCCCGGAAGTACGCCGCGAAGCTTGCCTAGAACTCCGCTCAGCGGACTGATTTTGATCGACGACGATGTCTGACCTATCGTCGCCGTTGTCTGTGGTCTGTCGTTACTGGCAGCCGCCGGCAACACTTGCACGGTGGCATATAAATTTTTGTCCTGGCCATTGATCACCTCCATCTTAGAAGTGCCGACAGTGGCAGACATTAACACTGAACCGCCGCCCTGAAGCGGTTCAGTTCTCCTTGATTCGTTTTTCTTTTCGCTCTGATCGGTTTCTCTCGCGTGTTCGTCGTCGGATACGGGTGGTGTGATTACACACATCGACGGAATCCGACTGCTTGTGATTGCTGTCTTCGAGCGGATCCTCTCGATTCTCTCGCAGCCTTCTAGATCGCTAGATTCTGAATATTCGAACTCGGAGTAGGAACGACCGGTACAGGCCGGACTCGAGGCAGATTCGACGGGAGATGAGGATGTGTTGTGGCCGCTATCGGGTGATTCGCCACCGTTTTGACCGTGAACCTGTCAATAAAAATTAAATATATATTAAAAGATACAGACATCAAATACTTACATAATTACTTTTTACCAATATTATCTCAAGTTTATTACAAGAATATTTAATAATTTTACACAAATTTAAGTTAAGTTTGATTATATTTTAATAGAATAGAGAGCGATACAGGGTCGATACTTTAAATATTTATTGTAATAAGGCTCAACGAATTTAAAACTAATATGAGAATAGGGCTTCGAGCCTGAGATTCATTAAAATCTTTAATTCTATTAATTCTAATATATTGCGAAGAATATCACGTAATGTTGGCGTTTCGTCCCGGCTTCCAATACTGGACTCATCAGTAAGGTATTGTAATGGAAGCCTACCTTAGACGCCTGTTTTAGTTATTAAATCGATACTTTAAATATCGGTAGGTATTTTTCGACTTCTTCCCCGCGATATTTTGTATTTCCATATCGACGATATTTGAACAGAAACATTGAACTTTCGTTTCGTTAAGCCCATTTAATATGGATTGTTAGTTTAGTATGGAAATTAAAGTTTACCAATCAGAGAAAAATTTATTTAAACTTGAGATTAGTTTCCCTCTTACGCAGTGCGCATGTAATTTAAACAAAATTCTGATTAGAATAGTTATTTAAAAAGATCGATGAAATAGTCTAAAAAATGATCTCCAATTCTTATTTTTGCAAAAAGGTCGATTTTTCGAGCATATCGATATCAGTACTAGGCACGCATATTGATGCGCACCTAAAGATAGAAATATCGGATCTCCATATAATCGATATCAGCAATATTGAAAATTATCCAGCAGATTTTGGTATATCAATATTTTCGTGCACGGTACGTGTTAGGATACGAAATGTCGAGATTTTTTTTCTGTGTGTCGTCTATCCCTAATTTATTCTCTTTAGCATGCACAGAGTATCCAGTAATGACTGTGTAATCTCTGGCGAGCAAGTAGAACGAATTAAATTGAGTCGAAAAGTCCTTTACCATTTTGCAATTTTCGTAATAATTAATGAGATATTAAGTTTTTAAGATCGGCGAATAAGTGCGCGTTTTATCCGGCCTACTGTCAAGTGCCACGCCCATCGGTCGCAGTTGCTAGGCGCGAGCGTGTGAGTGGGAAGTTACTTGGCAACCGCACACGCTGCGCTCCAAATGCTGCTACTGAAGTAACAGATACAATTCTTAGAAATATATTTTATATAATTTATAATATAAAAATTGATACTAGTATTTCTATATCAATTTAATAAAAAGATAATCTTAAGAAATTTGTTAATTTTTAAATAGAAGAACGAAAGTTAATTGAAATAGGGATTATTGTTTATATGCACGAAAAAGTTGATGTCATATTATTAAAAATTGATGTAATTTATATAAAATCCAATATTAATTTTCTAATCTTATTTAAATCTAATTTAACTTCGTCCAATTTTCGTAGAATCTTTATCTCTTAAATTCTTAAGAAATAAATATTCAGTTTAATTTGCAATTTTATTCCATTATCTCTTATCGTAGTTAAAATATTGCGAAACTTGAACTTACCATAGCAACGACTGTGAGGCTGGACTTGCGCTCGGGAGGCGGTGGTGCCATAAGCGCAGTGCAAACCGTTCCAGCCGAACTGGTTGTCGTAGAAGTTGATCCTCTGCCAAACAATTCGTACTCATTCTCCACAATCGGCGAAGTGGGGTCCGAGCCAACGTCGTTAGTCTTGGTCAAAGGACTCTGTGGCATGGGTTCCTCCTCTCTAAGAGTTTTCAGGCCCGAGTCCACGTGAAACGAAGTGTAATATCCCTCCGTGTCGCAGGAGTATACCGACGATGTTTCGCCATCGTCCGAAAAAGGTACCACCGTGATATCTTGTATGATATCCGGTGTCAGAGTGCCTTCAGAGGTTACTGAAGATGAAGCCGAGGTGTCCCTTCCTTTCAATCGCCTCATGTGACTTAGGGAAGTAGAGGATGTGCCGATAGAAGCTGTCGTCGTGGATCTGAAATAATATATATTTTCAAATTAAGCGCGAAGGTGTGTAAATTTAATCTAAAATAATCTCTTCGTAATACATAATCTCTAGTTCAAGAAATTTAGGCAAAATTCAATTCGCGAAAATAATTGAAAAGAGGATGTTAAAAAAGGGCAGATTTTTCCTTAAAAAGGTGTAAGTCAAAGAAATAGTATTTTTTGAAGATTCTGCCTTCTTTGAGTTTTATTTCAACAGAATTTCTACAATTAATTTTTTTTTTGTTAGACATGCTCAAATATGTAAAATTTATTTTAAAGATCTGTTGTAATTTTTAGTGAATTAAGACAATAATCGCGTTGGAAGTTTCAATTGGCAATCGGTCAATAGAATACAAAATTTTCGCCCATATCAGCGGAAGTTTTCTCCGAGCCATATAGATCTAAAAGAGAGAGAGAGAGAGAGAGAGAGAGAGAGAGTTTAGGACCCAAACAATGCGAAGAAAAATGTCAACAGTTGCAGAATAAATATTCTGCAGAACGCGACTATTGGAATACATGTTTACTCACAATAAAAAGGTTATAGTTAAATAAAATTAAAGGTTTGTGTATCAAATAAGTATATATGTTTACATTTAATAAATGTTTACTTAAAACTGTTCTCAAACAGATATATATATATTTATTAAAATTTTCTTTTATTTTGTCAATATATTCCTGTTTGACTTCTTCTTACTTAGGCTGATGAGTGGTAGTGGTGGTCTCACTGCCGATGCTAGCCCTTCCGCTTTCAGACGAGGCGCTCCAGTTTCCGGAGCTCGAGTGCGGTGCATCGTCGCGGTTGCTGCCCTTCCGTCGTTCTCGCCTCTGGGCGGCGCTCTCGCGCAATTTCACGCTCGGCTGTTTGTTGTCCGTGCTCGGTACTGACACGGGTATACTGGCCGTGCTCTTGCCACTCGAGCTAGACGAGCTCGGCTTCCTCTCGTGCGACTTGTCCCTCCTGCGCCTCGTAGTCACCGTCTCGTAAATATTGATCTCCTCTGGTGATCTCGTTTGACCTTGAGCTTGCTCGTTCGTCTCCGCGCTGATTATTGTCATTTCCTGCTGCTGTTGTTGTTGACTCGATTTCGGACTGATTAATTTCAGTCTGGACATGCCCCATGCCTTCAGCGTGTTGAAGTGCGACTTCTTTTCCGTGGGTGAGTCCTTTTTCATAGAGCCCAAGACATCCGTGCTCGCTGAACGATGCGCTCTCGGCGTGGCACTTGGCATTGTTTCCTCAGGCTCGTCGCCAGTCGTCTCCCTACAGTGATAAATAATCTCAATGACGTGAACATGATGCCAAGTACTGTAGCGAGTACGATTTGCATCACGTTTTAAGGATTTAAGCGCGACAGATTCACGCATGAGCATGTAATGATTAATTGAATAAATCACGACATATGATGATGGTTTAGTTACAGATTTATTATATTCGCGTATACTACAATTGATACGTAAGTTAAATTGTTACAACCCGTGGGAGGTCTCGCATGTGATAGCGGATAGCGTATACGACAATAATGGTACGTAGAGGGAAGGAGAGAGATGATCTGAAATTATTATCCTGCCAATGGGAGTACAAAGATAGAATAAGGGAGATTCTTCATGCTTGGATGACTGCGAAAATATGAGCGCACTTTATCGAGCGTGACAAATCGCGCTGACTTTCGAGGTACAGATCTTCAGAACCGCTGCGATAAGATGTATCCGAGCAAAATGCATACTTCTCGATTATACGAGTATATTTATCGTGTCGTGAAAGTTGAAAGAAAAAAACATTCTGCGATTGGTGCATTCATCGTGAAAAAATAAAGGATTATTAAAATAATTTTTATTAATTCCGGAGTTTGAGTGGCACGTACAAAAAATGAAAAGAACCAACTTTGTACAAGTATCCAAAAATTTATCCTATATAGATCTTTATACAAGATAGATAGATTGGAAAATAATTTTGTTAGACCATTAAAATAATTATGTAGCAAACTCAAGTATGATGAGCAAAGCTGTAAAATGTTTTGACATTTTAGCAACTAGTTTGAGCGTCTTATATAATATCATTTTGATAGTATATATAATTATGTAATTCAAATATCTGTATGTAATTAAATTTTTAACATTTTAGAAAAACTATTCTTTTCGTATATACAAGAATAACTGAATAACACTTTACTAATAAGCAGAATTTTATAACAATTACATTAATTTCGGACCCGAAATACAAAACAGAGAGAAAACCGTTTGCTCATAATCTAACATAATAGTAATTAAGAGTCGTAAAAACAAATATTATTAAATGAGTTCTCAAAATTCCTCAGTTTGAAATTGAAGGATCAATTATAGCAAGACACGAACCCTCCGATAGCTTGTCGAATCTCCTTTTGATCGGTACCGGCGATCGTATTTCGTCTCTTTCCTCTTGGCCTGCGTGGTCGCGATCTCCTTTTAACCGCCATTTCCTGAGTCTCTGGTCCTGACAACAAGGACCTTCTCCTCATCGACATTCTTTCGAAACCTCGTCCGCTCACATCCACTGCTACGATTTCCGCTGGGAATCTATGATGAAAGAGTACATTTTGGTATCACAATAGGGAGCTTGTCGGTCTGTCATTGATACAAATTTGAATGGAACTGAAGAACATATCAAGTCACGTAACAGGAAACCATGTGACAGACTTTTGACTTATACATGCTTATACGTCATTACTTTATATGTGTATATAAATTACACTTGTGCATATGTGTAGAAACTGCTAGTTATACTATACAATACAATATATATATATATATTGTATATATAAAAACAATAAAAATGTTATATTTAAACTACAGATTGCATTAATTTGACTATAAACTTTTCATAAATTACCATATAAATTAATAATTTTCATTCAAAACTCAATCTTCTTTGTCAATCTTTGCCAATATTTTTCTCTAATGTTAAATCAATGACATTTGTATCATATTGATCAGACATTTTGATAAACATATGATAATTTCTTTAAGATGCAATTCGTTAAAATGTTCAATATTATTGTATTTTATGTATGATACATTAAGTATCATTAATACTTTCGGAGTACAAAGGATTTTTTATTTTATATATGTATATATACACACATACATCATATATACGTATATGTCCTTACATAAGGATCCAAGATCTAACAACTCATGTCGAAGATTTAACCAAACGTGAATTTTTGATACTTTATCAAGATTATCATTCATATAAATCTGATCCTTAATAGTGAAAAGATTTTTCGGTCTCTGTATTTCATGCGGCGATTTCTATACAAGTGACATATTGAGAAGAACCGCTTACTTGAGCGCGATAGCTTGAACCTGTTCCTCGGGGCTGGGTAGTTTGTGATCGACAGCATCGTCGCTAGTTGTGTCGCCCAAGATTCGGGACGCGCAGTCCGGTGGTACAGTGACGTCGCCAAGCGCTTCGGTGGATGTCCATCTTCGAAGATCTTCGATAGCAGCCGGCTGCAACAAAATGATACGCGTAATAAAGTTACCATCCCATAAAATATTTCCTTTTATACACGTAATTATTCATATTGATTTATCATCACGTTTGCCTCTTTAAACGTTACGAAAAAAAAAAACTTATAGATTTTATATACATATTCAGTACAATGATCTAAAAAGATATATTTATAAAGTATGTAATATAGTAACATTATAAAAGAGAAGATTTTTTTTTATAAAGGAGTATTTCTGTGTGTGCGTGCGTGTGTATTTTTTCTCTCATTAATCTTATGATGAAATCTTACGAATAAATCTATTACTATCTGCAAAATTAAGAGTAGCTGCTTTAAGTCAAATAAACATAGGAAAATTCAGGAAATGCGGTGTGTTTCTCGTACCGTGAGAGTTGTACCACTTTGTACACTTGTTTGCTTAGTGTGACCTGATCTCAGAGCACGTAACAAATAATCCGTTTTTTTCTCTTCCGCGAGATCCAGGAGCCCGAAACAAGAAGGTCATCTCTTTTCCCTGCGGGAAATTCAACGCGCGCCGCAGTGAAGAGAAAAGAACGAACGACGTGCTTATGCAGCACCTGCGTAGGTGTTAACCATTGTCACCTCGCCGACCGGGCGGGTTTCACGCACAGAATACGGAACGGATTGGGTTCCGACCGTCTGCCAACTTCTTCGATGCATTAGCCGTTGTTCGCGACCAGTACGTGAAAACGGTCGGGCAGTTGAGCAAGTTTTAATTTTTATAATATACTCGGGAAGCAAAAGTAAATCTAGATATGTAGCGATTTTAAAAATATTCATTTGTCCTGACTATTTCACAATCAATTTATACATTACAAAAGTTCCTAAATATCACTATAGACAGTATACCCGTATACGTTATACAGAATTAATTTACAAATGTACTAATGACTGAATTAATATATTAAATTAATTTATATTTTTTAATATATAATGAATGTTAAAACATATAATAAATATTAAAATTAAGTATCGTTTTACATAAAACCAACACATTAAATTTATATGTGTATCTATAAGGTGGTTGAATTAATTCTCGCTGTTTTTTTGCTAAAAAAAAACTCGTGTTTATTTTAAAAAGGTATCTGATACTTTATTCACAATATTGTCCATCGAAAGCTATAATCTTTTTCCACTTTTAGAGTAACAAATGGATTTCGCGGTAGAAAAATTTCTTTCGAAACGATTCAGTTATCGAGCCATATTTTGATATTTTCGAAATAACTCAAGTGCTGCTCAGAAAGACTATGCTGCATCGACCGAAACAAATAGTAATTTGATGAAGCAACGTCAGATGAATAGGGCGGGTGAGATAAGACATCCCATCCAAGTGTCTCCAAGATTTCCTTCATTGCAGGTTGCGAACAGCACAAATACTGACCTTTCCCGGTCAACAGCGAGAATTAATTCAAGCACCTAACACGTTCAATTAACTTATCTTAAAAATCATCCTTGAACGGGAGATAATCTATGGAATTAACACTTTTCCACTTATCAAGTATATAAAGTTATAGTATATATTATCGTTATATTATTATTATTGTGTGTCACGAGTGATAATCCTCGTTTGATATAAACATTATAAACCGGTTTAATGTCAGTTAAAGTGCAGAAAAAAATGCAAGTTAATCATAATACATTTGATGCCAAGTGGAAAGAAAATGTTACTCGGTGAAACGTTACTGCTGTTTCAAAGAAATAGGAGTGCGGGAGAGAGGTTCGTCGATCTTATGAACTCTTCAATTATACGGTGAAAGTTAATTATGTCGAATTAAGTAGGTAAGGAGGTCAGATTTAATTCCTCTTAGTATTTGTAAGTCAATATCTCTTGTCTTGTTGAGGATTATTGAGTCATGCAGTCTGTGTATATATCTTTGTGTTCGGTCATCAACTAAACGTCTGAACTCAATATTCAGTTCCTTCCATATTTTGTGAAGTCAAGGGGAACAGTGTACTAAGACGATAAACTAAGTATATCGTTATATAACACATTGAAAAAATATATATATGAACATGCTGTAGCTTTTGTGCAACTTTCTCATTTCGCAAGAAGATTTCATTACGTGTAGTTATAGTAAGACACGATTAAATAATCGCATGGTAAAGTTATTACAGATTCTAGCAAAACGTAAAAATTTATATTTTTAAATGAACATTAAGTTGAAAAAAGTTTAAAAAGTCATTTATTATCTAATATTTCATTGTTCTATTCTAAATTCGAAATGGATTTGCTGACGTATAATATATATTCAGCTTTGTTTTTTAATTCAACATATACAGGCATATTGTATATGATATTATAGGATCACATGAAGAATTGTTTACTATATGTATATGATTTTAGTTATGTTGAAAAATTGACTGCTATTATTATACATACATTAAACGATGCTGACAAAAGTAAAATTAAAAGAAAATATCTGACGTTGATTCTTGAACCGCGGAGAAGAATATCAATCAGAGGAGAACATGTCCCGACATTTTCATCGAAAAAGAGAGAAGAAATTGTACTTACGACTCTAGATTCGATGTCGAGGCTGTGGTCTCGTCTCCTTTTACCGAGAACCGGTGTGCAAAGGAACATATCCATCGAGCTGCCATCCCTCCTCAAGGAATCCAAACTTCGTACGGCGACTATGGCAGCAAGCTCGTACAACTCCTTCAGGGCCTTCGGCCTCGTGTCCGTCGTGAACAGTCCCGTCGATGGTTTATTCGTGACGTGAAAATGCTCCGTTCTCGTCGCGAAAGTACAGATGTCCGATTCAGCTGTAACACGAAGAGAATATAGGAATAGAAACCAGGCTTTAATGATCACCTTGTCGCCTAAGATCTTAGATCTCTTAAGAGATTGCAGTCAAACTATATATACTATATGTATACTATATATATATATATAGAGTTGCGTATTTATCTAATTTCCATCACTTATTCTGATACATTACACGTAACGATAACATCACGAAATTTCTTTCGAGACAATGTCTTCTCTTGGTGTACCTCTTTCGGATATGTAATTTTTTATAATAATTATACAAAAGTGTAATATAGGATAAATGAAATTATAAATAATACAAAGTTTTCTATAAGACCGCGTGTTATGTGAGTATGCACAACAATTAGGAAATAAGGACCCTAAACGATCAAGCTAGATCTTTAGTGCTGCAATAGTTCTGTGAAATAATTCTACTAGCCAATTTATTATTAAAAGATTGTAATTAATTGCTTATTTAGAATAGTACTAAAAGCTCTGAACGACAGTGCTTTAATATATTTAAAATAAGTAATTAATTATACTGTCTTTCAGTATTAAATTGGCCAGTATTATCTAGGATTGGCCAGATATCTATAGGATTTGGATTTTTTCAAGGATTAATATTCATACACGCGCGCACACTTACACACATCAAATATATAGGTAAACATATACAAGTATTAAAAAAAAAAATCAAATCTCTATTCTAAACAGAAATTTAAAAAAGAAATAAAAAGGTAAATAAAAAAAAATTCTATATGAAAAAAGATAAGAAGAAAGAAAAAGTGCTACAGGGAAAAATTTACTAATCAGAAAAAACAGTGTATTTCGCGCCTCACGGCGAATTTAAGAGGCGCTCACGACACTATGTACTTTTTTCTTTACAGACGTTCTCTTAATACGATATTTCAACTTATAATATACTTTTTATTGATTATATATGATGGCCGAATACCGCTGACATATAATTAACTGTAAATATGTTCCATTTCTTGCACCGTAGCGCACGCAAGTCCCACGGCATGAAATCAGTAAAAAAATCCAACTCATGGCACCCGCGCTCGAGGGGCACGCTTGATTCGACGTTTCCGGTTGTTTTCAGAAACGGTTTCTTCCGTGACGAAACCGGGGCTTTTATCATCTCTGACAACGAGGCCCTTCCTATAACCTTTTCAATTGCATGTCAAAAGAGAGGAGCAATACACATTAATTATAAAATAATAGTTTATTCGAAAAATAATATAATTGTAAATTAAAATTGCTGAATTATAATGTATACATCAGCTGTAATGGACGCATAAAATTGGACACTTCTTTTTCTAATTTGAGACAAATCTGCGTCTTTAAAGTGTTCTTTAGATCATGAGTTAAGCGTACGTATAATTTCATCATACTATTTTCAGGTTATTTATATTATTCAGTAATTTCTTAACTCTCTAATTTTTTTATCTATAATACTTAATATTTTTGAATAATATATTGAAGAAAGTTTTTAAAATATAATGATTTTTAAAATATGATGATTTTCTGCTGAAAGTTTCTCTTAGTAGAGTAGCACAAGTGCAGACTCTCACCATATTCCTGCACATTTATTACACATGTGAAACATTGAAACATATAGTATGAATTGAGTGACAGATGAGTCATAACGTTTTGATTTCCGCGCTTGTGGACAATTAGTTCCGTTATTCGGAAGGAATCTTAATTGCCGACTCATTTAAATCAATCTTTTGGTCTGACAACGTACATACGTTTTGCAGTGCTATCAAGTGCTTTCATTATCGTGTGTTTCTTTTCCTATTGTTTTGCACAATACACAGCACGAAGGAATAATTACTACCGACCCGACACACGCGATGAGGTCCGTATTCCCCATTAGAACTTAATCCCTACGGACTCACCGCATCTAACAATAAGCAATACGTAACATTTATGTTCGATTTGTATAAATAGCTCTGATACTATTCTAGAATGCGATTTACTTCGTAAAGCTCCGTCTAGAAAATCAACTGATATATAGCTAATAAATTTGCAATTTTATAATCTCAAAGTCAAATTACAATTTCAATTTATTAAAACTTGTGTTTATACACACAAAGAGAAATGAAAACGTTTTACATAATTATTAAAATTATTAAATCTACATACGTGAGCCAAGAATCATACATGTATTCAATATCAAGTTAGTAAATTAAAAAAAAATAAAATTTTACGATTTTAACTTATACAAAAATTGATAAGTTTTTAACGTAAAATCTATAAGTTTTGTAAAAGTTTTGAGGCGAGCGCTATAGTTGTTTGTTCAATCAATTCTTTGGCGTCTTCGCTCCAAATAGCTTCTGGAACACTTTGGTATTAAGAGCTATGCTAACGGTTCATTACGAAGCAAGGTAGTAATATCGCACGACTGCTCCGGGCATTTATGCCATAGTGTATAAACAGAGCGATGCGTGTATGTGCGGGCCGCAAGCGAGAAAGACTCGCCAGTGTCCGATTCGATACAATCGTCCATGGAGTATTTCTTACTAACTGTCTGTAACCTCGGAAGCTGATGCACATATAACTACACAGCCGGTACAACTTTCTGCGCGGACGAGCGGGGAATCGACCTTCCTCCGTGATGTTCTGCAATCTCATCGTATGCGCAAATAATCAAGACTGGAACCGAAGCTTTGTTTCAGTATACAATTTCCTCTAAAAACTTATCATCTTCGTGCAACTTTTCGCCACTTGTAAGCAATTATTGCTTACAATGTTCTAACTCAGCACCAAGATTTATAATGATTTTGCTACATTTTCATAAAAAGTAATATAATATACATAAGTATACATATACATAGATCTATGTAGGTTATTTTGATATTGAAAAGGGAAAATGTTCATATTTTACCATCAATACGCATTTCTTTATAATTAACCTTTAAATATAGGTAAAGGTTCTTGGAACCCCCGAAACAATTTCACTTTTATAGTTATAAATTTATATACATACATATGATATATCCTTAGGAGATAGAGAGGAATCTATAATAAATGACGAACCTTCAGAAAATTTCTAGAAAATACTTTTCATTTCTCTTTCTCAAAGTTTTTGAGATAATTAAATATTTAGAAGTTAAATACGTATATGTCAACATGAATTATTAGTAACATAATAAAAGGAAAACTGATGACCTTTTCATTTTCGTGAGACAAATAATAAAATGCAGAAATATTAATAAACATCGTTTCAATTGGAGTAAAATTAGCGATTTTGAAATTACACGTTAGCGGGAAAAATGCGTTCGCATGCATTTCAAAGTAAATGCGCATTTGCAGAGCTCTAGTGTTTCGATAAATGTACGGCGAGCGGTATCAAACTAACGCGTCATGGCTGTTAGTAAAAGAGGGTCGGACTCTGAAGATTTTTTACAGACGGCAGAAGAGAGCGAGTTACGAGTCAAGGTCGACTACACAGGTTGCTCGGTCATGAGAATAGAAATATGAGCAGGTAAGCCGTGCCGTGCCGTGCCGTTCGTAATAGTTGTACACCTGAGTAAGCACCGCGCGTGCGCGCGCGCATCCATCCCAATCTCGCGAATAACAGGCTTTAAGCTATTCGCAATCGTTTCTCACAAATCAGCACGATCCACCGTAACCATGGCCGGCATGAGCTAATTACAATAGTAGCTTGGCAGCGACGTATGGGGTGGTCCGGGAAGTAATGATAGAACCGCTTCAATGCACTCGACTTGAACGTGAGGTAGAATTTGTTTGTAAGAAATAAACGCGCGCGCTGGGTGTTTTCTGTTTGCGAGGAGATCAAGTTCTGAAAATTAAGGGATACTTTACCTAGACTTATGTCTTTCTCTCTTCATCGAACAGAAATGTTATATTTATGCAAATTATACGTTATAAATTAACAAATTTTTGACTCACTCGTATATGGTTGTAAGATATGATTGGTCATAAAATGTTGTCCAATCAATATCGAAAATCACTTCTCTAAAAAAAAATTGATTCCGAATTGCTCGACGAATTTATAGACAAAAAATGACTCGTGAGATTCACCATTAAAAGTATACGTGGAAAGACATGAGAAAGAGATTGCGTTTATTTCTTCATCTAGCTCCTATAGCTACAGTTTTTCACTTTATTTTCCATTAATATTTATCTGGATCCAATGTGTACTTTCAACTGTCTAGCTTTGTCCTGTGCCTGAGAGTCACGCTGAGGTTTCGTAACATCCGGCGGATCTCTCTCGACTTACCACCAGCGAAAGCGTAGAATCGTCGTTGATCGGGTAGCACGGAGCGAGCGGTTCGACGAATCGAGAGATCGGCGCGAGAAGGAGGACGGCGAGAGAGAGAGAGAGAGAGAGAGAGAGATGGACAAGAAAACGACAAAGAAGAGGAAGAAAAAGAAAAGATAGCTAAGAGAAGAAGGGAACAGACAGATTCTCGATGGCGAAGAGCCAGTGGGAGGTCCGTTGTGAGCCTCGGCTGTGTAAAGTGCCCCGAAGCGCCGCTTGCGCGGCCCTTCAGAGGGCCCGATAGACGCGGCTTACCGGTTGCTCCGGCCTCTTCGTAAGTCGAGGCTCCAACCAAGATGTCAAGAAAGCACGTAATTCGTGGTTGCCTCTTTCGAGAGCGCGAGTAAACCGAGCTTGGATTAGCCCCTTTGTCGAAAGTGCCTTATAGGATTAATTCTGGACTTCCTGGACCTTCTACGTACCAGCCGCGTTTCTCGCGAATTTGAATTTGAATTTTCACCAACATTTGATTGCATCGCGAGCGACTATTGATCCCAAAATAAAAAAGATTTGATTAGTCTTTTCGTAATTAACTAATTTAAATGATTTTAGACTCACTTATATACAATACAAGAAATATATCGTATAGCTTCGTGTGAGAACGACGGATTTGTGACGGATAGGTCGCGAGAGAGTTTATAACTTCAAATCCTATACCAGAGTATATGGATAATTTCGTAATCCGTACTGATTTAGCGGGTGTCATAGACTCACGTGAGCTTA